CAGGAACCAGCCAGCTTCTCCACCGCTTGGTGGAGGGTCCTGGGGGGCGGGGTCCGAGTTTCAGGACCAGTGGGAGTCCCTAGAGCAGAGGTGGGGAATCTTGTTTGGGGCAGGGGGCCACTGACCCACGGGAAAATCTGTTGGGGGCCACACACAAGTGAGAAGGGGGGGGGAACCAACCTCAGGAATGTTGTCCCCAAATGAGAAGCAGGAAAAACAAAACTCCCCTCAAGTCCCTGCTGAGACTTGGGGCCGACCCTTTGCCCCAGGTGGGGTTGACTCTTCTGGGGGCCCTGGAGCTGGTAGGTTTTGTGGGGATCCCCTCCCCCCCCACTCCCATTAACCAATGGGTGCGGCGCTTCCCTGCAGCGTGCCGAGCCCCTCCCTCCCCTTGCCTGGATCAGGCCTGCGAGTGACCGCCCTGCATGGCCGGAGTGCCCACATCCGCTCTCTCTGCTGTGTGGGCAGGGAGAGATGACCAGGCCTCAGCCGTGCAGGCCGGATCAAGGCAATCCGTAGGTTCCCCTCCCCTGCAGTGGTCTCTCTAGTCTTTTCCATGCATGTGCGGAATACATTTTTATGTGCGCCAAGGCATGTGTGAACGGGCACCACCAATAGAAACCCAGAACCTAGCAGTGGGCATGTTACTAATCAGCTGGGTGGCATTTGAATGTCTCTGGAACACCCCGCTTACAGGGAACACTGACCCCTGCCCTAGAAGGGGGTAATGGTTCTGACCCCCCGAGCTACCCAGGGATGGGACTGGCTCATACATTTTTATGTGCGCCAAGGCATGTGTGAACGGGCACCACCAATAGAAACCCAGAACCTAGCAGTGGGCATGTTACTAATCAGCTGGGTGGCATTTGAATGTCTCTGGAACACCCCGCTTACAGGGAACACTGACCCCTGCCCTAGAAGGGGGTAATGGTTCTGACCCCCCGAGCTACCCAGGGATGGGACTGGCTCCCCCACATAAGCCGGGGGGGGGGGGGGGTTTTTCCGGCTTGGCCGTTTT